GTCAGGCTAATCACATGTACTTGATCATATGAATTGTATTGACGTCCTGTAGAATAGATACTGGAAGGGAATCTAGTATAGATATTTTCGTCTAAGGCAAATTAACATTCCATACGTGTAGATGAATTAAAAACCAACCATGATAACATTTTTACTTACTTACTTACGCCTGTTACTCCTCCGCCTGTAGCTCTTATGGGGTTACTGCCGGTCCCAAGCCCGGGTAAAGGAGGAGGGTTGGGCATAGGGTTAGCGTCCCCATTCCGTAGACAACTAACTCGCTAAAAAAAACGCTTACCAGAAAAAATGATAACATTTTTGTTTAAAATTATTTTATCTTAAATATTCATTTATAATTTATTTTATTTCTTTGAAATATCCTACATTCAGTATGCTCGTCTAGCAAAAGAAATTAAATTCCCTTATAGTGATAATTTATCTGAACAAATACAAAAATCAAAAGATAATTTCATTTCAACATCAACAAATTCAGGAAATAATCCAATACCAAGTGGTAACCAAGGTGATGCACAAGAAGAAGAAGAGGAAGAAGATATTTGTTAATGTATTTTCTGATTACTTATTGAATCACTTGATCTTTTCATTATTATTTGATAAGAATTTCCTTTGAACTAAAATCATGACATTACAAAGGATATACATATACTACTGATATACTCATATGAATGCTAATTATTTATTAGCTTTATTATACACATTCCTATATTTTAGCGCATAATTTACCCGTAATTACAGAACTTTCTCTAATTATTTATATTCTACACAGTTTTTTTTTGTATTTTATATGCTTTCCTTCTATTTTTTTTTCTGTTGTTGTTGTGTATATTGATGAATTTAATTATTCATCTGTGCATTTCAAATGTCTAAAATAATGCGATGAATAAATAGATACGTAATATATTACTTATTTAATCAGTTATTATCATATTACGTTTCAGTTATGTTAGTCAGTCAGCTATAACGTAGAACCACGCATATATGTGCATCGGTTCAAGTTGTCATACCTCATTAACACAACAAGATGAACACTGGATTCAGATGAACTATAGCCTTTTGAACCTACTTCAATGTTCCATTCACGCTATCTGGAAATGGTGGGTAGTTGTAGAGTAGCTGAAAGCCAGTTGAATTGCTCCTTAAAATGTTCCATCCATCATTCTAAATGTCTAAACTGGGAGTAGATAAGAGTGTTGTCTTTCGCCGAAATAGTCTCACTTACACTTGATTTATTAATCCGAGTTTTTTTTATTAGTCTGTAGAGATGTCTTGTGTTACCTACAGCCGCCGCCTTTCCCATCTCTTTATGTTATGTTGTTCATTACGTTTGTACAGAAATAATGACTTAGAATACTTATAACTTTCTATAAGCTAATTAAACTAGAAATTGTAAAAAGATTCTCTTTTTAGCATGTGGTTAATGAAATTAAGATTCGATTGATCAGTGAGCAAAAGACAAATAGACACTCAAATTTTTTTAAAATGCTGAAATATTATTATTTAATATTATGAATTCTTTTCTTACAATGATTTATGCTATGGGTTCCTGGCGTCGGCATATACACTCTCCATCTTCCTTTAAACTATGAGATTAAATTCGCTTCATATCTTTCTTTCTACGAACTAATTCTTTCTTCCTATACTATATCCTTATATGCAATCTTTCGTTTATATATTACCATCTCTGAATTAACTACTTTTATGAATCCGGTGTCGATCTTGTTGTGTTAATGCGGTATGGCAACTTGAACCGATGCATATATGTGCCTGGTCCTACGTTGTAGCTGACTGACTGCTCTGGGTTTCACTTTGTATGAAATAGTTGTATTTGGTGTGAATAAACCTTTATAATCTGGTTCTTCATTGTTGGTCGTAAACTGTGTATCAGTGTTTTACACATTATTTAGTAATTTTATATTTAATGTATTGATATAGTAGTGCCCTAATCATATTATTGTATATTTGTATCAAGAACACAGTCCTTTACTACTTTTCCTATTAAAAAACACTTAAGCTTTGAACAGTTGGAAGCGTAAGATAAGAAAAGTTACCTAGTAATTAACTATTTTCAATAAATTACATTTCTTAAGATTAAACGTTCAGTGGTAATACGTAGTTGGATAGGATGATAAATATTATTCTAAAATGACAAATTGAACGAAGAAATATTTCGGCTTAATTAGTTCATTATGAGGGCTTTACAATTGAATAGAAGATTAATGCCAATTAGATAGTGATGAACCAATTTAACAATCAAATAATCAGTCAGTAATAATGTTTGGAAAAGTTTAACTAAGATGAATTTTTATAATCAGTTTATTATCATAACTGATTATACAAGAGTAGGAATTGAAATTGGATGTAAATATAAGTGATCTGTTGTTGTCAGGGGAACTAATAATAAATAATTAGTAAGACCGGTGCAATTAAATAATAAGATTGTTAAAGAGGTTAAGAGTAAAATTAAAGGGAGAGAACGAAATGTTTCAAGACATAAGAGTATCTAAGTACAAAGTCAGGGTAAATTCAGTGGCTATATATACTTTTTGTTACAAAGATTAGGTTTTTGATGTAAGTAAGAGTGGGATTTTATAAATAACTTTAAATGATAAAGTTTCGTCTATGTGATGACCAATATCAACTCAATGTACCAAAACAGAACTTTTTATTAATTTCTTTTATCCTCTGGTCAATCAAAAAAGGTGATGTCCACGAATACGATGATACATCTTTCTAGTTGTGCAGCCAATATAATTAGCTCCACAAAAGCAACTAAAATAAGCAGAGGAACTAGACAATTTATCTTTACTTTGTGAACTATCGGTTAGTTGAAGAAAGTAAAACATGATATTGCCTCATTTAATGTACGTTCTAAGACATTATATACGTCGAGCAACTATTTCGCTAGTTAGACCACCTTTGAACTGTAATTTCAAGAATACAGACTTCTTTGGCATCGTCGATGATTTTAATGTAAGTCTAGTTCCGTTCATATGTTTTGTTAGGGACTTAGGTGGATATCCGTGCTTAAGTAGTTAATCATCAATGAGTTTTAGTTATTCTTAAAAAAACTATAATCAAAGAAAACAATCTTGGCTCTGTGCTAAACATTTGACTAAGTTCTCCTTATGTTATAATGGAATAAAATTTGAAGTTTTTGTATTAGGTTTGTGCAGTCGATTTAAGATAAGCATTTCTTCTTGTTGACCTATCGTCAGTTCTCTTCAGACGAGAGCCTTGATGAAGAATCCATTGCAAAGAAACATTTCTTAACTCAAATTGCCTTTTTAATATCTCAACAGGAATATTCAATGAAAATATTATTCTGTTGGTAAATTTTCAAATTATATCGTAAAGATATTGTTCATTTCACAGAGAGAGATGAAATTAGCACAAAATATTTTTGATTGAAATCATGAACCGAATAATGTTAGACCACCATTAAAAACCTGGAAGCACTGGGCGTCCGATTCGTCCTATTGTGGGACTCCTCAGCAGTGCATATCCACGATCCCGCCCCTCAGGATTCGAACCCAGGACCTCTGGTCTCGCGCGCGAACTCTTAACTCCCAGACCACAGAGTCGTCAGTCAGCGTTGTTAATGTCTAACCTCAACTAATATACAAAGTTGCGCGACCATCTTCTAATGTACTGAAGTAGATACCTGTTCCTACCCGACACGGATTAGCTCCACTTATCACGGCTTCTCACCAGAAGTTCGAGAATTCCCTCATGAAGCTAGTCATTAGTGAGCACATGGTAATTATCAGTATGGTGTTGTGGAGATTACTGGGTTTTTTATTGAGATTGGATGCGCACTGTTGAGGAGTCCCACAATAGGACGAAAAGGCCATCCAGTGCTTCCAGGTTTTCAATGGTGGTCTAACATTAATTGGTTCATGATCTCAATCAAGACAGACTGCGTTCAAAGTCATCTACAAGGTAAGTAGAAGTCTTCCAAAGACAATTAGACTGTATCTTCTTTGCATTTCCGAAGCATTAGCCATACATCTGGAAAAAACACAATTGTGCGTGCAAAAACAACTGGTACAACCTCTTTTCTACCATGGTCCTAATGGGTTTTTTTATGAATATTTAAGGCATTAACAACCAAACGATTACTAATTCCCCTGTTTAAAAATAAAATATTTATTCTACCTCACTTTCACTATGTCCATGAAGTCAGTGACAAGTGGACTGAGCCATGTTGGTAGTTGTAGACTACCTGGTCGGGATCCGCGAGATGATAGCAACCGATGGTTAGAGACCTTGAATGACATGCCTAAAAATCGTTTGTAATGGTGCAGGTGCATCAACTCTTTGTGTTCTCCCAAATTCTAATCTCCTGAATTCTTCATGTTCCTTTTTTTCGTCTTTCCAAATTTGTTTCACTGTATTATACTCCTTGAATAACATCTTCAAACTCTAGTCTTTCCGATTATTGCTTATACTCTTTCTACCTCTGCCACTACGGAATTTGAGTTGACAACTGCATCTTTGTGCTAATGTGGTGTGGCAACTCGAACTGATGTACGTATGTACGAAGTTCTACGTTGTTACTGACTGACTGACTGAAGTTCATTAACATTATTATCGCAATTATTGTAATTATTATCATCCTGTAAAAATAAGTATACATATTTGCGATTGTACAGCTTTGAAAATGAATTCGTCGAAAAGAGAACTTTTCGATGAAGTAATCTTTTTTTATTTAATTCCACGATTATCTTATTCTTATATGAGCATTATACGACAAAAGAACTGTCTAATACAGAACTTTCAGTTAATGATATAATAATAAAGATCCAGACAGACAACACTTGAACGTAATTACACTATGTGACCAAAACTCTACAAAGTAATAAATATCAAAATTCTCCTCTTTATAAAACAAATAGGTGTAATATGAAAGATGAAGAATATCTGTCTGTACAAAAAAAAACAGTAGTCACTATTTACATACAAAATAAAGTTTATAGAGTTTACTTTTCCTCTCTACATGTATCATTTAATTTGACATTATCAGTGTTATTTTGCATATTATCCTGTTCAGATTGATTATTATGTATATCAGGTATTGATTTACAATGATCATTATCAACATCATCATTACCAGCTTCGGTTTCTGTTTCGCTACTTAACTTTGACAGCATTGCAGTCATCAGTTCAGCGACTATACCAGGTTGACGTGATTCTAGTTCATTCTGTATAGAGAGAAAAATATATACGTAAATATTTGAACCAATCATTTATGAGATCAGAAATAATGATAAATACTATTCAGTCAGTCATTATAACTCCTAACACGAATGTATATTAATTTGTGTCTTCACAGTGTAAGAGAAAACTGAGATTATAAACGGAGGTGAAATAATAATGTTGTCTGCAGTATAAAACTAAACATACAAGAAAGAGTCTGATGTTAGGTATTTGGATATAGTCGGCAAAAAGTTCTGCACTTAGGTTCCTTACTAGGTAGCCCTCGTCAATAAGACGTAGCTGCAGTTTTGAGGGAACTGATGCTCTCCGGGGGGCTAGAATCCAGATCATACAGTTTCAGATCAGCGAGCTATCCGAGCCGTAACTAATTTGCAGGATAGAAATACACAGATTAATAGTATTTTTCTAGTCATTATTGCTGACCAAATCGATCAAGCTGTGAAACGGAACGATCCGGATTCGAATGTACTAGAGATCGTCAGTTCCCTTTAGATTACAAGTACGCTTTGGTGACAAGTGCCAATATACACGAAACATAAGTTCCTGCTGACTGTCTTCAACTGCCTAACATCAAAATATAATACATTCAATATCGAGTCACTCAGACTATTGACCACACTGAAGCTTAGTCAATACAATTTAGTTGGCACTAAAACAACTAGACAAACATAACACTTGCCACTACTCAATGATCAGTCAAAATACATAGTTTACAAGGAACAAATAAGAATTATAGAATAAGAATAAAAGATGTCGCCAACTATTGTTTTTAATTATCTTGTGAGGTACAAAAGAGGAATCTATACATATGAATAAGATCAAAAGTCAATGTCTTCGTGGATTGATGCCTTTTTTGTCTGGATAGTCCTAGACTTTTCACCAACCCACTTCACAGTTTATTAACCAGTGAACAACATATGACAGTTGTTAATGTATTGGAAATAGAAGGTCAAACGTGAATAAATAGACTTAGAATAATCATCACGAAACATTAAAACCATTACGTAATAAGAAGTGTGTAAATAATTAGATAGTGGAGAATACAAACGGAAAGAGGTGAAAAATTACAAAAAAATACAGGAATATGAAAATAATGATAATGATAACAAAAATAAAATTGAAAAAAGTCGTTTGTTAAGTGATAACTGGCCACAGAAAGGATAGGGGGGCTGCGAATTCCTATGGCTTCAGCTATATGTAGGAGAACTCCATTGGGAAATGATGTAGGTATACGATAGATCACTCGAAATGATTCTGATTTATCTACATTATGAACGTTATCAGTTAGATGTGCCAAGATAGAACTTCGTATTGTTTTTATTTGGCCCTTTATAAACCAAGCTGGTAGATGTTCCACTCATTGGTTGTTTAAGTTGCCTAGTAGTATTTAACATTTAAATCATTTCAAAGGAACTATCTTAACAGTAAACAGAACAAAAACAAAATAAATTTGGAAAAGAATTTTTCATCGTAAATATATTTTTTTTTGAATTTGGAGAAATCGATCATTACAGTTTTTTTTTACACACTACTATTCAACATGTTACTTACCTGTAAAGTTTCAACAACTGATTCAGTTTGATTTATTTGTTGTTGCAAGATTAATAAACTACTTTGAAGACCTTCTAAATCTGTATAGGCTTCTTCTAGTACACCTTCAATGTCTAATAGAATATGTAGAAGTTTTGAAATAATAATTTAGTTAATATAATTAAAAACAAAACTTGCAGTATACGAATGTTTTATAATCACTTTTTCTTACGGTATGACCCAGCTATTCCTATTGCTAGTATTCTCAGACACCAGTACACTCGACAAATCCCCAAATCAAAACACGGTTGAACAGGAAAGAGATTATATTCCAAATAACAAGGTTAGATGAAAGTAAGATGCAAGTAAGAAGCAAGTAAAAAGCACAACAGGGAAAACGTCAGTATATTTATAGTTTTTACATGAGAAGATTCTAGAGTATTCTCCAACTATCGACTAGTGCTGATTGAATAGGAATTAGCCAATCAGCGTGCACCAAAGCAATCGTGCATTAGGCGGCCTGCTTGAATATCTGGGCTACCTGTTGCTCCGATCTACATATTTCATCAAGTTATCTGTTTTGTTGTTTGTTTTAGCACATCATTATGTCTATTGTGCACACAATCTATTCAGGCGCGTTTATGAAAAGTTTACAACCTCTCGCTATAAGGGATACAAAAAGGTACAATCGGCGACATCACGGTGGCTGGCAATATGCATTTAAACGAATGAATATTAATCAAATGTGGATTACCGAACTTCTAACAACTAACTGGTCATCATTCAAAATTTATCGTCACGACCGATCAAGATATAAGTAAAGGAAACTTGTTGAAATAATTTATGCTGAGAATTCTATGTTGTACCAAAAATATAATGTTGAATAAAGCTTCTAATAATAAATAAATAAATAAAAAAAATAAAATTGAGCTCGCTTTAATCCAGTCTATGTTCTGCTGACAGAATGTGATACTGTTTTCGTTGAAAATCACGACGGTTAGAACTGAAGATTATTTTGATAAGAATTATACAACTACTTACACTGAATGGTATTTTGTTGTTGTTAACCTAATGAATTGTAATTTGAACTTCTAGTTTGAAATGTGTTACTAGTCAACAATATTTTAGAGTTGAATAAAATTGCTATGTGTGGAAATTATTCTAATCCATTTTCGAGATATAATTACATTCAATAAATTTAAGCTTTATGAATCTATATTTCCATAATACACAAGATCTCAGAATAGGGCAACTTCCTAAAATAGGAATGACTCTATAATGGAATAAGGAATGCTGCTTTTAATTAGTTTATTTCTATATCTAGGTACTTGAGTTATTCGGTAGAATATTCATCCATGATAAGTATAGATCTTATCACAGTTAATAAAGTACGATGATGCATATTATTAAGAATAATTATGTACATACTAAATGGAAAGGAGTTGAAATATTAAGGGTGAAGACTATTATCGACGTTTAAGTAGAAGAGTGACACCAGAGAATTCAAAAGTACTTTTATATTTTATTTGGACTCATATTTGGTGGCCAACCATTGCAAATAGTTTGATGAAAGTAAAGAAGACGGAATAAATCTATATGTGCCGAGTATTACAGCAATTTATGCCAATCTAGACGTTTTATGTCATTGTGACATTAATTTGGATAAAAACGGTCTGAAATGTCGATTAGGGGAATATAAATAACGGTCAGTCAGAACGTAGTAACCAAATGCTTGAAATTTAAAGAAAATGTGGCCAACAAATTAAGAGCTAGACCAAAATGGAAAACCTAGAAACACTAGACGGCCGTTTTGTCCTATTGTGGGACTCCTCAACAGTGCACAACCACAATCCCACACCGCGAGATTCGAATCCAGGACCTATCGATCTCGCGCGCGACCGTTTAAACTCTAGATCATTGGGCCCGTATCCAACGGTGCTAATACCTAACTTCAGTCAATCCATGAAATTGCACCAATGTCTTCAGTAAGTTACTATCTATGAAGAGTCCCAAACTAGGGCAAAACGGCTGTCCAATGCTTCTAGATTTTCCATAGTAGTCTAGCTTCAATTGACTCATGAATCCAACTATTAAATTACCATAATATCTACAAACTCCCCCCTTCAAATGAGAAGAAATTAGATGGTGGTTGGAGGTAGTCAACAGGAAACCCTGGACCCGGGTTTCGTGCTATTTGGCACTCGTCAGTAAGGTGTACCTGTAATCTTGAGGGAACTGGTGCTCCCTGGCGGATTCGATCTCGTGTCACCCAGCTTCACAGTCAGAGACGTTACCACTGAGCTGAGAAGAAATTAAGTAGAGTAAAATACTGTGAAAGTTTGTTCTATTGGTTAATTGTTTTAACTCATTTTAATAATAATTTCATAGTAAAAACCATCAATTATTGAAGTAGAATTTTCTTAATAATTTTTTTTAAAAAAGTAACTTTATATAAAAGTGTAATACCTTCATTGGTTTTGATAAATTCTTTCATACATGTTGTTTGTAATTCAGCTTCTGATTCTAATCTAGCTACACGATCAGTTTGATTGACTCGACCTAGTTCTTCATTAGCGTTTAACAATTGTCGAATACGTGACATTAATGATTTCCCTATTGAACTACAAATAAAAAATAAACGAGAGCACAGGTGGGGAAGACTAATTTATTGTTTATTGCTCAATTACACTGTCTTGGTAAATTATAGAAACCATACATTAAATATATCATTTACACATCTTCCATCAGTTGTCCTTTAGTTAGTTAAATCATATTGATATATAAATGGAACGTTACTGAACCAACCCGAATATTTGAAAGATTGATTCAGTAACCAATAAGCAGTAGTTCTCCAAATGTGTTTTATGAACGAACTATGTTTAGTGGGGTTCACAAATCATATATGAATATAGAATATTTAGATATATGACTAAATTTTATAAAGTAAATAAAATAGTGAATCAACTTCGTATTGAATTCTCAACAAAATTACAGGTTGACTATGCTAAGAAATTAAGATAATTAACGAGATAAAATGAAGGTTCTAAATCAAAAATACAATACATATATTAAACACCGATTTATGTCTACTTATTATAACAGAATGCATGACAATAAGTTATTGTTTTAACTAACATACATCATTTGTAATTTTACATTTTAGGGAATTAAATCTCATACCCATTGCATAAGTGAGTGGTTATCCAAACTCAGTAGCTAAAAGGATAACACGATAATGTTCGGAGCAAACGGTACTGGGTTGAAGTTTCAGAGTGTACGTTAACTCTTGTATGCGAGTACATCCAGCTAACAAACACTAAATAAACCAAAATGAGCGTTCTAGATAACACTTCTAGTCACATTTTATCAATTCTATGTTGACAACATTATTGTTTTTCAATGGAAACATAAAACATGTAATTGAAACAATCCTACAGTAAATAAAGATTTTAAGAACTGGTATATTCGGTGCATGAACTGGAGGAAGTGTCTCTCCAATCCAATTATTTGTTTTATTTATTTGAACACATAAAAATTGGTACAATATGGCACCAAATATATATGCGCAATACAATAACAATGAGAGTGGGAAGAGAAAAATAATGCATAAGAGAGAAGAAAGAAAAAAGAGAATAACGATCACAGATTAGTGTATGGTAGTGTAATAATAATAATGGGAGAAACGGAAGTCAGTCAGCTACAACGTAGAACCAGGCACATATATGCATCAGTCCAAGTTGCCATACCTCATTAACACAAGAAGATGAGCACCGGATTCATAAAATTAGTTGATTCAGAGGTGGTAATATATAAAAGAAAGATTGCATATAAGGATATAGTACAGGAAGAAAGAATTAGTTCTTAGAAAGAAATATATGAAGCGATTTTAATCTCTTAGTTTAAAGGTAGACAGAGTGAATAGACCAACGCCATTGTGATCGATTCTGAACCATGTCACCAAGAGTCTCCAACCATTGGGAAACGGAAAGGTATAACCAGAAAGAATTCTTTCAGTTAAGGAAGTTACAACCACCTTTTATGAAGAAAGTAAAAGAAGGTTACAACAGGATCGCCATTGGCTTCTATTCTGAGCCATATCTGATAACGTCTCTAGCCACTGTGTAGCACCATCTCTCGGACCCCAACCAGGAAGTCGAGAAGCACCAACAGAAGCCAGCCCTTTACAGCTTTCTTTCATACCACAACACCATGTCATACACTGACCACCTCTCAGCTTTTTCCAACCAGTCCTAGTGTCGGCAAATAATGCACAACGTGGGATTCTCTGGGACGACATTCGTAGAACATGTCCAAGCCACCGAAGTCGATGTTTCAAGATGGTGAAACCAATAGGATTATCGTCTCTACGCCCGAACACACGATGCTGAACCTCTGCATTACTAATATGGTGTTGCCACTGGATGCCAGCAATACTTCGGAGACAACGATGATCAAACACAGAGAGTCGTCTAACATCCTCAACCAGGTTTCACAAGCATTGAGCAAAACTGCTCTCACCGATGCGTTGTAGATCCGACCTTTTACAGCCAGACTGACATCATGAATGCGCCAAAGATGGCCCAAATTGGTACAAGCTACTCTGAATTTCACTATACGTGAATCGATCTCATCACTCACACCACCACCAGCACTTATGCAGCTACCCAGATACACGAACTTCTCGACTACTTCTATTTGCTCACTACCCAGAGTGAATGCAGGACCAGGGTCCTCTCAGTCTTGTAAAAGTACTTTTCACTTTGAAGGTGCAAAGCACATATCGTACCTACGGTATGGTACAATTAATTCCAATCCAATTATTCATAAAGTATTCATTAAAAACACAATGATATCCGAAAAAAATAACAATAACTTATGAAAATACATAAATGATACAATTCAAAAGTAAGTTTTAGTTATATAAACTGATACAAACAGGTCAAAATATCGGAACTATAAAACAAAAAATTGATACTTGCCAGAAAATATTCTACCATTATAGATACACTTAAACAAAATATTTATTAATTCAAAACGTTTAAAACAATTAACTCATTTGATAAACCTAGAAAATTCAATGAGATGATTGAGTTTATCAAAACTATTTGAAATATATTAAAACAATATATTTTGAACAATCTAATCGCTCATGTAACTATTAAGGCCTTTGTATATGAAAAAAAGACAACTTTCATTTATTTATTTCAACACATAGATATTGGTACAAGGAGGCACCAAATACATATGCGCCACACAAATCTCATTCGATATGTGTGAGGGCTGTGATACTGCCCGGGTGCCCAAACCGAAGCAGGTGGTTTTCTTAGGGGGCCACACCCCGAGCCTTCGACCTGGAGGTCTGATCCACAAGGCAGTGGAGCATCGTAAGGAGATACAGTCCCATGGAAGCCGTTGACCAATAATTGGTTCATATGCCATTTTTTCCCACAGGATACTAGAGCCCATGTGCACCATTGGTTTGGAATCCGGTTAAAGCTCCGGACATTCGCTTTTCGTCCTTTCAATTTCGTAAACAACACCCCCGCCACGAGAAGGCAGTGAGTAGGACTTCCCTGGCAGAGGCTATATACGCGTGGCCATGTGAGAGCGTTTCGAGAAGGAGAGCGGACTCTCCCCACTCTCGGCCGTACCAAGGCATTTGGGGGCACCAGGGTAAGTTACAGTATAAGTATAAATTATTTTCGAACACAAAACGGATTTGAATCTTTATATGAATAGGGATTCAAGTCTAAGTATTGGCTTTAAATAGCATCTATACAAAACTACAAAAAGGTTATGGTAAGATCAGACTTATAACATATTTCAACTGTTTGTTTAATAACGGAAGAAGATAGATATCTATCATCTGGCGTTATTGAGTCGATTGACTTAATTTTTTTTTCGTAGCCAATTTTATACACATTCAGCCTTTTCGTTGCATTATCTAAATCTCTTAATTGGACTTAAAAGGAATTTATCAATCATCTGTAAATTGTTAGACTAGAAAATCTCTTACAACTTTCATACAGCTCATTCTTATCTATTAACTTGTCATTTCTTTAAATATTTAGTGAGTGAAAAACACCTTAGTCTTGTATGATTAGTAGCAGTAGTAATAAGAGTAGTATTGTTAAGAAAAAATAATGATATGAATGAGTATTTACCTTTCTGGTGAAAATCTCCATGCTAACATATCATCATTACTTTGTCGATATTTATTTTGTGCTTCTTTTGTTATTTCATGTAATTTTTTATAAACAAGATTCATTGAAGGTTCAAAGAAATGTTTCAATGTGATTAATGAACTAGCATCAATACCAATAGAATTTGATGAATAACCAGTTGCTGTTGATGCATGTACTTTACTAAATTTTGCTCTTTTAGCAGGCTTTTTATTTTAAAATGTAAATAGTATTAAGTAGTTATGTTATTATTTGCATTTTCATTGAATAATAAAGTCAAAAAGACATACACTAGATGATGTAAAAACTTTATAAACCTGTTTATGATCCTCTAAACTTTATTTTCATTATACTTGTATTTGTTTTGTGTTAATCGTACTACTTACCAATTATAAGTAGTTTGAGTTGCGGTAAGTCGTTTTTACGAACGGTATACTGTAACTATCACAATTGATTGATCACTGGGTGGTGATCAATGTCATGTGTGTCAAGTCCTTCTTTAGTGCAGATCGAATGCTATCGATTATGTTGCAATGTGGCCACCAGTCTAGGTGACTCGACAATGTGGGCACTATATATTGAGATTAGATGGTGGTTGGAGGTAGCCGACATGGTTTCCTGTCGACTACCTCCAACCACCATCTAATCTTAAATGACATGACTATGTTTTAACGATTCGCTCAACATATCCGTTTATGTGCGCATTTCAACGTTTTGGTTTAATAATATGATGGCAATCCTTATTCACTGTTTTTTTAGCATTTTTCGTGAGCGACACTGTTCGGAATGATGTTTGTTAGGAACAATTAACTGACTTTAAAAAAGTGGATGAGACTTCAACCTGAAACAACCATGAGATTTGTACTTATAATACAAGCTATGATCTAAAGGATAAGAGTGTTCAAATTGCGGTCAGTGGATATCGAAAGTATGTAGCTGGCCCAATTCACCAGGTTTGAGTAGCCAGGTTAAATCACTGGTTAAATATAGCTTAACGTCTAAGTCGAAAGAAGATAAAAAAACAAGAGGATAGTAATATATCCAGCTAAACCGTAATATCAGATGTTTGCAACTTTACAACTCTACATTTAGAAACAAAACACCGTATATCTAAATAGTAACTCAGTAATTTAAAATAGACTGGGTGCTCAACGTCTCACCCCTTCAATTGCATGAGACCTCATGATATTGTTGACAGTCTATATTGAACCAAGTGAGAATACGATTTAAATCCAGAACCTAATTGTTGAAATTTCAATAGTTATTATTAATCCATATTTTACTCACTGAAAACAAGTGAACTATTCCTTTAGACCTGGATGTGAAAGTATAAAGTGGAAATAAAAATCACATTACACGATAACTCACCAATATATATTCCATTTGAGCTAAACTGAAGTCTGCATTAATATAACGCGCTAAATAAGAATCCAATTGTTCATGATATTTTTTCTCAGCTGCATAAATTTGATTTTCTACATATTTATTTATATATAAAACAAAAATATAGAAAATTAATAAACAAACCAAGATCTAACTTTTCTTCATCTAACAATTTGAGTTTTTCTTCAAGACTTCGTATTGTACCATCTTTATTGTTATCTCTAGTGAAGATTTAAGAAGGAAGAAAGAAGAAATCATCATAAAGAAACCATACATATTGTCCGGATTATCCATGTCTGAATTATACTTATTGTCTATAGGTGATTTGATCTGTGATGTATGATCTGCCATCATGGTTCAGACCTGAAATAAGAATCCAATATAATGCACAGATAGACAAAGATTTTTGACTGGTTGTTTTCAATATTATTTTATAATAGTACCTGAACAATGAACCAATAAATATTTCACTTAATCATTTCATAAAATGTATTTATAGAAGCTACATAACGTTAAACACATATGTGTTCAACATTACTGATTAACTTCGGTAATTTTGTTTGCTTTAAACGGTGTGACGGAAAGATAAACCTGACCTAATATCTGAATAATACCGAATAATATTACGAACTTGTTTTTATGATCCCGCAAATATCACCTTATGAATATTAACTGAGATTCCTACGTCGTTCTTCTAAAAACATTTTCAGTGAAAATTTAATCTATGGGAAATACTGAAAACGTCTTGACTGAACCATCTGAGAGAAAGAAATATGCATAACATAACTTTCAAACCGACCTTATCTCGAACATATACTTAAAGGGATTATGTTATTCAAGCGTGTGACCCTCTGAGTTAGTACCAAAAGTATACAATAAGCAGAAAATGAACAAATCAAAACCACATAATGAAAAAGGAAAGAGGTAATAAAACAAATGGGTAGTCAGTAATGAAAACAGGAAATAACATTAAAGGGATGAAGTTATCACAGAAAATAAAAGTATCCACAAAACTAACAAAACCTTGTCACGCGAGTGAAAACTCACTAAGCAGTAATGAATAGAACATATTTCTACTTTCCATGAGATAACTAATAATTTTTCACCTAGTTTATTGATTTATTCTCGCGACTATCTTGAATTTATGGCACCGAAACTATCACTAAGAACAAGCTTAGTGAATTCCGAACTTTTGTAGGTTTGTCAAGTACACTACACTTCGATAAATGGATACTAAAGAGAAATGTATGTCCATGTAACCTGTCCAGAGGTTTTTTCACCAGTAGTAATCAGTTTCCTTCATAAGATATAGCCTAAAAATTCAGACAACACACTCAACATTGTGATCATCTAGTAATTCTTGGCATAGAATAAGCTCTGATGCTATAAACGTGTGATAAAAAATAACTACACGGCCGAAAAACTGCTTTTCTTCCTCGCGTTTTTTAATCTTGAGGGTGACTGGAAAGATCACACTAATAAAAAAGGTAAATATATGAGTTCGAAAAAGAAATGACGTTAGAGAAACCGACAGTGGGGTAATATAGGTGATCTGGGGAAGTCTATAGATAAACTGATATATTAAGAGTGAGAAATATATGACGTTCGGCTCGAAAAAATCATCGAGTGTCAAACGAGATGGTGACAACATTGTTTCATACCCTTCGAAATCAGTGAACTTAAAGTGCCGTTTAGAAATAATGAATTGGAGAGGTAAACAAAACACGGTAGTAATGTATAACCGTATATTTCGAAAGTCATTTTTACATATTAGTTATTTACAAAATATGACATTGTACGGTATAAGTAATCAGATTACAAGGAATAACGCTATTCACAGAATACTGATAAACAACAGGACAACTGTTGCACTTTTACAAAAACGAGTAAAGTGTAGGATGACTGAACAGTGAACATTCAAAAATGGAACAACAAAATCAGTCATTTTCAACAGTCATTGGAAAAGATAAACTCTCCATCAAACCATCTACTTTCTCTTGAAGTTTACTAAGAATATCTGCATCGATAAACAAATGATAGTCATCTAAATCCGTATGTACGAAATTTTTGCCCAAAACTAAATTTTCTGCTAAATGTAGGAGAAATTGTTTCATAGCAGGGTCACTGAATTATAATCAAAAATTAGATGGTAACTATTAATATTCACATTACCACTTGACGAGAATTCCTTTATGAACATTAACCATTGCTGCGGACGTGAGCTCGACAGTATGAAGAGTTTTTTATGCTGTAGGAAGAGTTAACGTGTACGAATGTTAGAAGTCAATCAAAAAATATTATTATAACAATAGTAACCAAATAAAGTATGGAGCTCAGCTTTCATGCTAAGGCGTATAAATAAACAGAAAATGTAAGCACGACATAACTGTACTCGCTTTTAGTAAAAATAAGATATACTATAGTGCTCCAAGTTGGGAACTCAGATAAAAAATTAATACACAAACGCTATTAGTGACAGGTGAATAAAAACTCAGATCTTCACTTAAAACAAATATGCATAAAAAGTGATAAAATAATAACAATTAATACGAAATGAACGATACTTGAGAAAATATGCTAATAGAAACCACCAAAAACTAAGTTCACTCAAAAAGGATCAAAGTTTTTTCAACTTCTCGACATCTTTTGAATATCTTTCAAACTATTGATATCCAATGGAGAACTAGATAAATCGAATGCCCAACCATCGACTGCCCCAATGAGTGATGTTTTATGGTGTAGGAGTAGGTTGGAAGAAAACTAGGGGTGGTCAGACCAAAACATGGCACAAATCGATGAAGTCAATGACAAGTGGACTGAGCCATGTTGGTAGGTGTAGACTACCTGGTTGGGATTCGCGAGATGATAGCAACCGATGGTTAGAGACCTTGAATGATGCAGGTGCATTCACTCTTTGTGTTCTACAGAATCCTAATCATCTTCTTTCCAAATTTATTTAACTGGATTATACTCTTTGAATAACATCTTCAAACCCTAGTCTTTCCGATTACTGCTTATACTTTTACTACCTCTACCACCATGGGATTTGAATTGACAATTGTATTTGTGTTAATGCGATATGGCAACTTGAACTGATGTACGTAAGTACGAAGTTCTACGTAAGTTCTACTTAAGCTAAATCCGCCTTAGTGAATATTTTACGTCCACTAAGTGCAAAGGAAAAATCGTAAATGCATGGAATAGAATATGTCAGTTATCTTCAAGTTATTTAAAATTCGATAGTCCCCACAAAGACACTAATCTCTGACTCTATTACTATATGTAGTGATGGTACTTAAAGGTCGGATAATGCTTAATTGTACTGCCAGAACTCCAAGTTGGCAGCGGCGAGTTTATCACGCGGTATGCGCCGAGTCCAAGACTCAACTGGCTAACCTTTCGGTGTAACATATAATGGAAAAGTGTTTCACACTACCAGCTTGATGTTTTGATTTCATGACTTCTGAATGCTGCTGAATGATCACACCTAAAGCACCGTCCAATGACGTATTAATCCTAATGCTATGTATGCAATCCAAAAGTGGGATGGACATGTAGGTGAGCTCGAAAATCAGTAAGCTCCCGATTGTTAACATTAACTAGCAGATTGAAAACCCTCAAAAAATCACACCGGAAATAGAAGGATCAGAATCAGGTACTATAATCATCCAACTAAATTGACGCCGAATATCAGGGTCCGAAATAAACAGCTGTCCTCCAACAGCCTTGTTTTTTAAAGATTACTTTTTTTCTTTGTTGTAGGTGGCCAGGTTGGTGTCACATTAATAATGCCAATCTACTCATCTGTATACTAGGATATGGGGAACTGAGGTCATATCGCGGGAGGGGGTTGTTTACGAAATTGAGAGGACGAAAAGCGAATGCCCGGTGCTTTAACTGGGTTGGTGGATAAGGAGAGTTCACCTAAGGGAGTTGGAAGACCCTGATTCCAAACAAATGGTGTACATAGGTTCCAGTATCCTGAAGAAACAAATGGTGTGTGAACCAATCGTTGGTCACCGGCAATCATGTCACTGTATCTCCTGACGTTGCTCCACTGCCTTCTGGATCAGGCCTTTATGTTAAAGGCTTGGGGTATTCCCCCCACCAAGAAAACCATCTGCTTCGGTTTAGGCATCCGGGAAGTATCCCAGCCCTCACACAAATCGAATGATTTATGTGGCGCATATTTATTTGGTGCCTCCTTGCACCAATGTTTGTGTTTAAACAAATAATAAATGAAATAAAAACAAAATAGGTGGCTAGGAAGTTGGTTAGTAACTGCTCCTGTCTAGTCATAGCGTTTCCCAAAACGGGAAGTCAGCGAGACTCTAATTTAGGGACGACCTTTGAACGAATCTTAGATGACCTTGACAATTATTAGCCAATAAAGAGACAGTTAGTATAAAGTAAAAATATATTATAAGTAATGAATTACAGTGGATATTTTTCTTTTACATGATTTAAAACTTGTTAAGGTTTGATAAAGCTTTAGAGGTTCTGAATTCACAATGCATATGGTATAGAAACTCGTCCATAGGGTTAGGGTGGCGAGATTCTAATTTAGGGACGAGTCAATCAGAAGCGTTTGAGCAATTTCAAGTTCACGGAGCCGAGTTCAACACGTGAAGCTAACATACGATCGGTTTACAACGGATTTTAGAGAAGAGGTGTTTGTTGAGAGGCTACAACCCTAACCCTATGGAGGAGTTTCTATACCGTATGCATTATGAATTCAGAACTTCTGAAGCTTTATCAAACCTTGACAAGTTTTTAAATCATGTAAAAGAAGAATATCCACTGTAATTCATTACTTTCTTGTAATATATTTTTACTTTATCTTCTGATTTACTAATAATTGAAATCGCTCAAACGCTTCTGATTGGCTCGTCCCTAAATTATAGTCTCGGCAGAAAATATTAGGTACTGAAGATACAGTTTGATAAAACATAAGTTAGTAGAATCAAAACAAAACAATTTTGGGTGATTCAGAAGCCCAGGATTTAGGGAAAGACATAGAATGAGTTAACCTGTGCCACTGCAAAGGTTCTTAGGCTATTTCGTTTAAAGCCCGCGACCAGTGGTTGTGGTAGTCGAGCGGACCGAAACCAGGTAATCTACACCCATTAACATGGCTCAGTACAATTGTTAATGTCTTCATAGCCTGATGGTAATCATTGGCAGCCCCTAGCTTTCTCTCAACCTGCCACCTCGCATTTTAGAACATTTGCGGCCTAAAAACACTTTCCCGACAATTATTCGTGGATGTATTATGAAGGGACATTTTTAATGCTTTTAACTTTGCTATAGTATTAGCTAATATTGATGAATATTGCGAACATGGCACCGCCACTTATGCCGAAGTGGAAACGATTAGAATTGGTAGGTGATTAGGAGCCACTAATGAATTTTATGAGTGGAGCATGATTTTGCATTATATTACAATTCAATCTACCCCACAGACCATATTTTTCAGAGGTAACACAAAATTTGTTGTGCTGTTACCAGGCTCTAAACCCAAACATTCAACAAAATGCACCGGCGACGCTATAAGGGCTAATTATTTACTCTATTTGAGTATTTTAAACATTTTAATTAGTTACTCCAAGGTGAAAATCTTATAATATTGACAAACTATGGACCTCTGAAAGCCTACATGCTACATGACAGATGTCATTCAGTTAGCTAGAAATAAATCTACAAACATCTAGATGTATTAATGAATTTAAGTATCCCAAACTGAATTTTCGCCTTATCTGTATACAATGATTTAAAAACCTACCCAACTTGAAGTGAAGAAATTTAAAAAGAGCCCCAAAAGCCGTTTTGTAGCAGATCACTTTATTAACCGCTAAGTGTCCAATATCCAGGACTAGTACTTCTTCACCTGATTACATTATTTCTGGAATTCTTAGTTCGTACTATGATTCAAATACTTCTAATCATCATAGTTTACCTAGCTCTTACAAACTTATAAGCCAGACTTATAAATTAAACCGTTTCAGGAGTTCGCAGTTAGCACATTAATTCGAATACTTCTAATCATATTGGCGTCGCAATGGAGCCTACTATTGGACATTTCGATGTACATTCAAATCCTGAAACCCTCAACGACCGCATGGAAAAATTTGACGTCTCGAGTATTATCAGGGAAAATATCAACAATGACAAAATCGTTGCTCATTTTTCTACATTAATTGAAGACCACAATTTTCTAAAATCTTTGACGTTCCTATATATATCTTTTTCACTTCCCTATGCAACTCTCAAAGAACTACTGTAGTGACCTACTTTCACAAGAGAATGCGACTGGTGTGATAGAGACAATTATTATTATAAAAAATTGTACTAGGGATGTTTTACTGTACTTGTCTATTTAACTGTACCAAAACACACACATTCTTCCGTTGATTGTGACCTTGTACGAATTCGGTTACGCTCAATAACCACATTTGTTACCTGGTACGATCTCAGTATTCTTTCGATATCGCGAGATCGCCAACAAATGAAGCTCGACTACAGCCATCAACTGCCTTCTTATATTTGACTTACGTGGGATCTTATCTGTTAACTGGCGCGTAGTCTTCCTGCAGTGATGATCATAGTCAACAGCGGCTCTACGCCACACTACACTACCACTAAATCATGTAAACTGCACTAGTTTCGAACTCCATGAAAGTGCAAAATTTCACAAAATGATTCGTCAGAATAAGCAGAAGTTTATAGAATTTATCCTTGAATTGCTGAAGCAGGCTGCTAAGTATATTTTCGGTGACCAGCTCCATATGCAGCTGCGTGATCGACTGATTGTAGGGATTAGGAAATCAAATCTAGATAGAGAGCTCATTTATATACCGAATCGCTCTTTTCAAGATGCTATAATTGCGTGTTTTAAATATAAGGCAGTATATGAATTTGACTTCCGCGATATGAAGAATTCTACTACATCACTTAATTATTTCAATCTAATGCATACTCAGTGCCATGCAAATAACAATTTAAAGGGGAATTGCAAGACAGGTCACAAAGGTGAGTGCAAGCTTGACAAATGTTTGTCTTGTGGTACATTTTAATCACTTAATTCATGTGTATTTCATCATGCGAAATGCTGTAAATATGGCAAAATTGGACACTACAAGTAAGTTTGTAAATCTACTGTTCATTTCGCTGCAAGTAATCAAAACTTTGTCTCTTAGAATTGGAGTTTTGTGGTGTTTGAATGGACTAATGATTCCTTCGTACGTATTGAATGCTTGATTTTTAATTCCGGGCACAGTACATTCATTTGTGCTTATCTAGTACTTCTAGATGCGACTGCATTATTTCTGGGAATCTTATTTCATACTTTATTACAAATAATCCTAATTATCACAAGTTTCTCTAACCAAAATTTATCACATTGCGAAGCAGGAAGCTTGATATTTGCATTATAAAAATTATTAAAGAGAAAATTTGAATTATTGTGTAGACGATTGACCCAAGAGATGATAAACGAGTGATCAGTTAATAAGTAATGCAGTCGGTTTGAGAAGACCAAAGTGTAAGAAAAAAACTGAGAACGAAGATTATTCTAAGCGAGCTAAGTATGATGTGTGGTAATGATAAAGTTACGATACACACCTTAAGAACAGCTATTCCGACTGGGAGATGGCAATCTGAATATGGTGATGTGTTTGTTAAGTCTTTTGCTGATCTTACCCACTGAAGAGACTATGATCACTCCGACTGGGCAAGCATTCCAAATGAAAGTAACTATTGATGGAGAAAGGTGGGGTCGCACATTGAAGAGACAAGCAAAAGCGGATTTCCATGGATGACACAAGTTCATTTTTTCCTACGAGGCACAGTGTTAATGAGGTGGCATTTCGAATAGTTAACTATCAACACATTACTTACTGCTCACTCATCCATTTTTATAAGGTTCTTTTGAAGTTTAAGTAAATCTGTTGTGGTATTGGTTCTCAACCACATGATCTTTGAGTCCGAACATACGATAATTAAGAAAACCTACGTTACACAGAGAACACAGATATGGTGAACGCTGATTGACTCAATGGGTATAGCATCTCTCCAACATGTAGGCATGGTCACTTTTTATGACTTTGTAGTGGCATTGGACCATAACCACACTATCCTCAAAGCTGAATACGAGATTACTCGGAAAATAGATATTCAATATTTAACGCGAAGAAATACCTAACGATGGAGAAGGCGCGAATAATGAACTGAATGAATTAGGGTTGATCGAACGGCATGGCTCGGCCATGCAGGCGTGGCCTCTGCTGAATGTTACCTTATATCTTCTATTCATATTAAATATATTGTTCTTTTTCTAGCCTAACCTTGTTCTACATCATGTATTGGCAATTGATACGATACAGTGAGTTGGTGTAGTCGATGGTGTGACTTCCACGTAAGATCTTGTGGATTAGGCAGTTATATCATGACAAATCTACAAATTTAGGATTAGGTCTATTAATAAAGCAGTACTAATATCATAGTAGACCATAAATTCTACATTGGTAAGCCCGACTAAAGAAACGCAACCTATTATTGTTAATCCTTATTTCCACTTTAACTTTCTCGATTGATTTTATATTCATGTTAACCCAGTATTCTAATAGTCCCCTGAATAATACTCACATGCATTATCGTAATGTTATATTGATTAGTTCTCATGACATCCTAGCTCAGTCGATAAAAACTGGTCGGCTATATAAACTAATTAGCTTCGATGGTTCGTTAACAAGCTTTAATAGCATTTACCTGCTTCAGCGACATAGACTTGTTTAAACATCAAGCTCTAGCAAATATGATCTGTAAGTAACGTAAATATACATTGACTAACAATGCCATCAAGGATTGAATAGTTATCTGGATCTAATTCTTATTGTTCCTTCACTTAACACCTCATCCTGTTTTAAACTATGCACTATCCTGTAAAATCTTTTCTTCCGACCACTGCTTGCCTAATTTCATATTCTCGAGTTCCATTGCCAAACAACAAGGATGACACTTTTCCTAAAACATACGGTGAGTTTCAGTGATAAGTTTCCTGCAATCATAAGGTCATTTTAGATGGCTCGTTCAATGACTGACTCAGTTATCTGGATTCATTCGATTGTTTTGATCCGAGCGAGTGGCAAAAACATCAACAGCATCAAGCACCCTGGAATCAATTGCCATACTGCATGTATTATTGTGGATATTTTTGGATCATTACTCCTCACGAATGGCGTTATATATGTCGTCCACTGAATAATCTAATTTTCAAAAATAACCCAGGCGAGTTCAACTATTTCACTTAATGATTTTTCGTACTTAACATGTATATGTTTCCTAGCTGCTTTTGCCATATATTTGTAAGTGTCCCTAGGCTAAATGCAGTAACTTCTTATGGAATGTTTATAACGCGTCATATTCCTGCCTAAAGTTTCACAAGCAGTCTTAACTTTAAAATTGTTTTTCTGGTCATGTTCATTATTTTTAAATTTTCATATACGTCAACAACCTGCATGTTAACCTGGCCCGTATGTACGTTTTACTATATCTTCATGTCTTTTGAATTCAGAAATCATCTGAATCGCCTTTAACATTTATCAATAAACCCATCATAGTCATTGTTGCTAATCGTATTTGGGTTTATGGATTGATTTATCATATTAGCAGCCTAAAATACGAACATAGTTTAGATGATAAGATTAAAAAGTTAGGTACTATCAACTGCACTAGTAAAATTACTAAATCCTCAGGTAGTTGTTGGTTGAACAAACTTTTAAAATCAAAACTCCGTAGCCTACTAGAATTAACACTAAGCAAATATTTCTAAATTGAAATTTATAATTAATTTAGTCGTCTCGTATTCTTTAACGTTATAAATTTCTGATAATTTTGAATCACCTAAAACAACAATGCCTATTTTTCCACTGGCCAATCTTCAATCAACACTATAACTAATTAAACATAATAGTTTCAGGATATCTTCATAAAGCATTGTCATGACTTGACAATCACGTAATATGATTGATAAAATTAATGAAACTAATAACAAAATAGGTCAGCAAATTGACTTATGATTATAACTAGTGTTATTTTTCTTTTATCTTCATTCACTACAGGTGATTACAGTATGTTTCTCTATCAGTTGCTCATTCAGTAAATATCTCAAAACCTTGTCAGTCTAATTGATGGTTTAGCGACACAATCATGCATGCGAATAATCAGTATAAGCAGTCGAGCAAATCTCCTGCAAACTGAAAACGTTAATGTCGAATTTACCACAACACTGACTAAGGTTCAAGCTATTATCATAGGCATGAGTTGGGAGTGTACTCCCCTTGGTTACAACTTATGTTCTCCCTGATAATCACATGAGCATCACTCACTATTAATCATCTTGTAAAAAATTATTTAGCCAAATACACCTTGCAGCACCACATCACTTAGTAATATGGCACATAGGTTTAACTAATTTCAATAACGTATAACCACTATATCTTAATTAAATCGTATTCCGCCTTATGATAAACTGCATACTTTCAACTAACTTGTATACTCAATCAGCCGGCAAGTATATATATAAATAAATAGTCTGCCGCAGATCAGAACATTGAGTCTAGAGCATGTTTCTTACGAATACACTCATGTTTAACGATTTGTTTCTAGCTATCTGTCCAAAATTCACATAATTATCACTCACGTATTTAAATTTTGTTTTGATAACCATTCATGTGTATTAGTAGTATTACTAAATTCTATCACGGTCAGGTAAACATGGGGTTGAGAAAATCTCCCCGTAACTAAATAAACCGTATCAAACTTAACTGGAACACTAGTTGGAATTC